CGCCCTGCTCTCCTGGCCACTTCACTGAAGAACTGGCCGTTTCCCGCTTCTTCTGCAGCGCTTTATTCTCAGCCCTGCGAGCCCCTGTCAGGGCCTGGCTGACACGCTTGCGTCTGGCCCTTGGCATCTCTCACAGCGTCTTGAACCCCGGTGCTCAACTACCTGAGATTGAACTGAGTCAAACCAACTCAGCCTCAAATCCAAGTGTCCAGCTTCTTTATGGGAAAAGCAAAACCACTGGCTCTGTGGGGACACACATTCTCTGCAGATACAGTGGATGGCTCGAGGTCTGAGGCATGCGAGGCCTCCGTGCTGCTCTCCCTTTAGTGGATGCCAGCTCCTACTGTAACTGGAGCCCAGGGTGGGCAGTGGCCGGCCGCTGCCTGACTTGCAGACCTCCTGAGGTATCCTCACCATCCCAAGGTCATGGCAACCTTGCAGACTTCTGCCCAGGCCTAAGCAGGAGGCGGGGCCTGTGTGGGAGAGGCCCTAGCACTGCACTCATCAGAGCTGTGCGCATGACCACACTGCTCCGCTTCAGGGGGCTCAGTGACTGGGTGTTGAGCTTTGCAGACTCCAGTCAAGAAGGGTGGGCAGTTGGGTGTGACACGAGAGGATCCAGAATTTGCCATCCAAATCCTTGGGAGACACAAGACTAAGGCCCAGTGCCTGCTGCAGTTCTGCCTTTGACATTGTTAGGGATGCACCTTGGGAACTTGGAGCACAGGGATCTTCCCTGGAAATAGTCTCAGGTGTCACGTGTCACCCTGCATTGGGACTTCATGAGACTGTGAATAACTACATTAAACCAGATGTGTAAGAAGCCAGAGTATAGGTTATAGTTACTTCAGACTGTATTTAAAGGTTCTCTCTCTGTCTTTTTTTTTGAGACGGAGTCTCTCTCTGTCGCCCAGACTGGAGTGCAGTGGCGCGATCTCGGCTCACCGCAAGCTCCGCCTCCCGGGTTCATGCCATTCTCCTGCCTCAGCCTCCCAAGTAGCTAGGACTACAGGTGCCTGTCACCATGCCTGGCTAATTTTTTGTATTTTTAGTAGAGACGGGGTTTCACCGTGTTAACCAGGACGGTCTCGATCTCCTGACCTCATGATCCACCCACCTCGGCCTCCCAAAGTTCTGGGATTACAGACGTGAGCCACCGCGCTGGCCTAAAGGTTCTCTTAATTAAAAAAAAACAAAAAGCAAAACAAAAAAAAAATACAAAAAACCTCTTTCGTGATGATTCACACACGTTCTATGTAATACAAATCAGAGGCTGGCTTTTGGCTCCCACAGTTTAGCAGCAGTGCCTAAATGGGATTGCTAGTAGCATTTTTCCCATCAACAAAAAGATCTGTAGGATGGATGTACTGTATTATTTTTTCCTTTCCCCCGCTACATCCATTCACTGATGTAGATGGGAACATAATGCAAACTTAAGCTTGCCTTATTTACATAAATCTTCCTGTTAGCTTTCCGCTTTACCATATCTGCATTTTTATGTTTGACCTATTAGTACTTTTTTGGTTTTATAGAGAAAAAAAGTGCTTCCCTCAGCAGAACCATCTGGCGTCGTTTCCTGTTCCTCAGCAACTACATGTGTATTCTAGCAAGGCCGCCCTGTGGTTTTCTGAGTGGTGCTGTTTCACTGGTGGTCTTAGAATTCAGCTGGAGTGATGGAAAAGTTACACTATGGGCTTCTTTCAAGTCTAGAGTTTCCAAGGTGAAAAAGTGCATATTATTGTCATTTTTGACGTAGCATTTTTTTTTCCTGTAACTGGAATATGGTCTTTTAAAACAAATCACACCCTTCTATTCTTTGAGGAAGAAAACTTGCTTCTAAAAACATCTTTTAGATACTTGGCTACCATATTTCCTTGGCAGCAAACTGAGGCAACTGAGGATATAATCCAGACATTTTTACCACATGCAAATTTTCTTAAAGGGTCAATTATTAATAACTAGTTTTCTTCAACAATGAAGGAGTAAGGTAACAATAAACAATGAGCAAATTACATAACTAAAGGATGTGACATTCAGTTTATAGTTTGTGTGGCAGAGGTAAGTTCAGTCAGTCTCATCCTGAAGGGCAATGTGTAATACTGCTTTGGGCTTGCGGTACACACAGAGAATCCCAGCTGGTCATTGGGCACATTTTCAGAGGGGTGCGTGCATGAGGTTGAAATTCTGTATTTTTATGTTGTAATATTCTACAGATTTTGAAAATTTTCTGACCAAGTGTGCACTTATTTTTCACTTTGTGAAATACTGCTTTCTAAATCTCTGTTTTTAGAAACAGTCCCCAAAAGATTTTGTTTGTATATGTGTATTTCTTTTTTTTTCTTTTTCTCTTTTGTTTTTGGTCTGTGCACATCCCACGGGTAATTGAGATCCACAGGCTGTGGAAAGAGGAAGACCCCAGAGGATTTTCTTTTTCTTTTTTTGAGGGAAGGTGGGGTATCACATTCATCACCCAGTAGGCATTACATTTCACATTTGGTTAAAACTGTGTTTTATAACTGTTTGTATTTAAAGCTTTCAAATTTTACTGTGTAAGATAATGCAAAGTGTTTAACCTGTTGGCTGTTACATAGAAAGAACTCTAAAAAGATGTAGTGCTCCCCACAATCCTTTGATTAGATCACTTATTTATTTTATTTTATTTTATTTTATTTTATTGGACAAAGTTGCACTCTGTTGCCCAGGCTGGAGTGCAGTGGCGTGATCTTGGCTCACTGCAATCTCTGCCTCCTGGGTTCAACTCATTATCGTGCCTCAGCCTCCCGAGTAGCTAGGATTACAAGCGCACACCACCACAACTGGCTAATTTTTGTATTTTTAGTAGAGACAGAGTTTCACTATGTTGGCCAGGCTGGTCTCAAACTTCTGACCTCAGCTGATCCACCCGCCTCGGCCTCCCAAAGTGCTGGGATTACAGAAGTGAGCCACCATGTCCGGCCAAGATCACTTATTTTTAGTGATCAGAAATGGTAGATTCTAAAACGATAAGATTATGAAATATTTTGTTCTTCTCCTTAGTTTGAAAAAGTCCTCAAATGTAGCCTCAGGCCTATAATTTTTTATGAAGACTTCAGAGACATTGAAAAAAACTCTATACTAGGGGATTTGGTTTTTGGAGGTGCTTTTCCCCTACAGAGTGGTTCGTGGTCCCTCGAAGACCTTGCGTAGTCGGGATGTTGCTTGAAGGTGTGCAAAGTTGAAGGGAATGCTCAGTTTTAATTTTAAGAGGAAGGAAAAAAGTTAAAAATTGAGGCTAATAAAAGTTAATGAGGAACATTTAAATCCTTCAATGGTTCAATTTATGTTGCAAGTCAGAATGGTTCATACCGTTATTATATGTGTATGGCAACATCCTCTCTCTGCTGTAATTCTTTTCCCTTGAAAACTAGCCCGTGCGGCGTGGAAGGCACATCATGCTCTCATGATTGCTGTTCGTTCTTTTGACAAATTCCACGTTTTTGTTTTTTTTTAATAGGGGAAGGAATAGGCACAAGGAAATTAAAATATAAGCGTCTGTTTTTTTTCTGCCATTTTTTTCCTGTTTGACAGATTACTGAATAAAGCATGGTTATCAGCAGAGTGACCATTTCTAACTGTCTCTTTGTGCTTAAAAATTTATTTTGGGATGGGAAACATTCCCCAAACCCAGAGGGTACACTTAATATGCCAGTTTTCATTTGAGAAGAATTACTTTTCAGTTGTAGGTGTTTTGGGATGTAGCCTGACTCAACATACAGTATTAATGGTCCAAAGATAGAACAGCTGAACTTTCTGACTGCCCTTCTTTGGGAGACATTAGCATGTCCCTGGAGACAGTTTCCCCAGCTCTGGTTACGCAGATCAGTATGTAGGGAAAGCTTATTACTTTTAGAAACGTTACTCTTGGATGGCCCTGTCTATTACCCACATCAAATATATGGTACACATTGCTGTTTTCTTTGCTTTGGAAATGCTTTAGAACTAGACCCTCCATCTTTCCCTGACTGTAGGGTCTAGGCTGTGGGAACAGATTTTGCATCAGACCGCCTTGGGAAGTGAAGTGAACTTTTTAGTGATAAATTTAATTAATTAATTGCCATTTTTCCAGAACTTCCAGAGATTTTTCTTAAAAACACAATGCCAGGTTTTTAACAGCAATTTTTAGAAAGTCAATGCTTAACTCATTCAGAGAAAAACCCCTATGATCCATTTCCTAGAGGGCATTAGCCTTATCACTTGTTTTTATTAACAATATGTATAGATATAGATATAGATATACTTGTGGAATTTATCTCTAAATGGAATATTAAATCTTACCCCTACACATTCCTCATACTGAGGCTTTTTGTGGTGAGGACGGTGACTGTACGCCGGGATCAAAAGAGCCTCGTGTATGTGCAAAGCATCTGTTGTGCTCTATGTTGGGTCCTCAGCCTTTTCATGCTGCTGTCCAGCCTCGTACAATCACTTAACCATTCCAAATCTTACTTTCCCTATATTCAAAGGGAGGGGGCTGGAGTTCAACATAGGTTAAGATTTAGAAACTGAGAATATGGTATCATCTTTTTCCATACAGCATTATTTACCATCTAGTATAAAGTTTATGTTGTTTTTAAATATATCTGCTAACAAAATGTAGTGTTCTGTGACAGAGTATGATTTTGTGTTTTAACATTGTACAATCCCTAAGTGAAACAAATTATTTATAAAGCCCAGTATCTTTTTTTTCAGTTTCATTTATTATTCTGAGCTTAAGCTAACATCTTTTTTTTTTTTTTAAACATACCAGGATAAAAAATACTATAGAAAGTGCTACCTGATAGAAGTAAAATTCAAGCTATACATGCATGCCATACGGTATATAATTTTAAATTTTCAGTGATTATTACACTATAAAAAATAAAAAAGTAGCAGTAATTTTAAGAATATTTTTATATAAGTCAATAAATCCCAAATATTAGTTAAACATGTAAAAATATTAAAAAATTATTGAAACATTTTACCTTCCTTTTTCTGTATGAAGTCTTCAGAATCTGGTGTACATTTTATACTTCACAGCACACCTCATCTCGGATGAGCCACGTTTCAGGTCTCATTTCATGCTAGCCCTGCAATAGTGAACACCGCAGTGGGATTCTGGATCTTGATCAAGAGTTTGCTTTCTTATACATGGAACCACATATTTAAAAACCACTGTTCGTAACTATGGTTACGGAATCCTGAAGGGGGCAGCCGTGAGAAAAGAAAATCAGGATGCTTCTCTGATGCCGTCTTGTTGGATAAGCACTGTATCACTTCCATCGTGGTGACCATGTGACCCTCACCTCGCGCCTACTGACTCGCCCATGGGGCCATGGCCGTGCTGTCCCTGCGTGTGGAAGGAGCGAGCAGAAGACTCTTCCCAGTCTTGTCCCCAGAGGGAGAGTCTTCAGGAGGTTTTGGGGTGGCTGTAGCCAGCACCACACACAGATGGACACCTTTTACCTTCTGGAGTACAGATTGTCCTTGGAGAAAAGCAACCACACAAGAATCCCACTCAGTGACTACTGGGCCCCACTCAAAAGGAGGGCAGCTTACACTCACAGCAAGATCCTGTTGCAATCCAGAGAATCCCAGAATTTCTGAAGTAAAGAACCTAAGAAAGCATCTAGTTGTTGACATAGGATTAACCAAAGAACATAGTCTATACTTTTGGGTCTTTAATTTATACTAGACAGAGTCTTTGTAACTGTTCTTTTAAGCAGGCAATTCACAAGTAGGCAGAACCTAAATTGTCACGTGGGAATTTTGAAAAAACTTTACTCAAGTGCCTTGGCTTCAGACTAAGAATCAATTTCATTATGGAGAGCAGTTTAGCTGCACCTTTCTCTGTGCTTTATCTCACTTAATTTACCAAACTTTACTTGTTCCAAAAGCCGTAAAGTCTTTGTTTAAAAGGAATTTCATCAGGACGTATGATGTGCTCTTTTTATTCCTAGTGGCAGCAATACAGATAAATTAAACGTTTATAACTTGACTGGTGTGACTAATATCCTACGTTTTCTGGTGGATCCCATGTCATTCTTTCATTGATGTAACCTTTTTTCCCCTGGGAATCTCAAAGTATTTTTTTCTGAACTGGTTGGTATAGGCATGCTAATTACAGAGGTGTGGATGTTCTAACTCCCCTCTCTCTAAATGGCTTGCCTTTAGGGTCAGCCATAAGTCAGGTGCAAACCTGGGATTTTAACACAGAACTCCTGATTTTTGAATTTCTGCTCTAATCTTTAGCTACATAAAAATATGAAGAAACTGACTACAGCAGATTATTCTAATACATGTCCAGCTGTCTGAGCAAATAGCCATGGGGAAGAGCTTACCTCTCACTTCTCTTGGAATCATCAAGCCTTCGAGCAGCAGTTCCTGTCTCATGGTGCCTTGTGTGTGTCTGGGGATCAGAGGAATGATAAGAAGTCAAGAGGAAGGGAGGATGGCTGAGTAGAGTGATGGAATTTCTATGCCTTTTTGTTAACTGGAATGATGAAATTAAAATTATGCCACTTTTATTGAGGTTTGCAGCATAGCCCAAATTTAAAGAAATTTTTGATTGAAGTAAATATTTTTTGCCAAGAGACTTTCAGAACAAAATTGGTCAACATTTGTAAACTACTTAGGGCAGAGAAACATTAGTTTAAGCTTTTAAGTGAAAAATATAAGAAAAGGAGCCTACAAAGGATGGTACAGTTGTCCCCTCCTATCTGCAGTTTCACTCTCCATGGCTTCACCTATCTGCAGTCAACCATGATCTGAAAATACTAAATGGGAAATTACAGAAATAAATAATTCTTAAGCTTTAAATCATGCACCTTTCTGAGTAGCGTGATGAAATCTCACACCATCCCACTTCATTCTGCCCAGACGTGAACCATTCCTTTGTCCGGTGGATCCACACTGTCGATGTTCCCCACGCATTAGTCTCTTAGTAGCCTCCTTGGTTATCGGATTGACTGTTGAAGTATTGTAGTGTTTGTGTTCACTGAATCCTTACTTTACCTAATGGCCCCATGGTGCAAGAGTTTTGATGCTGGCATATTGTTATAATTGTTCTATTTTATTATTAGTTCTTGTTGTTAAGCTCTTACTGTGCCTGATTTTTAAATTATTTATCATGGATATGTATGCATAGGAAAAAACACTGTGTGTGTGTACAGTTTGGTATTTGTTGGTATTTGCAATTTCAGGTATCCACTGGGGACTTTGGAACATCTCCCACAGATAAGAGGGGACTACTACATAGTTCATTTATTGGCCAGTTATTGTCTCTGTTATGTGGACATGCAACTTATATTTATAACCGTATATTCCCTTAAAATTCTGTGTTTTTGTAAAATGTGTATCAGCTCAGGAGGCTTACCTGCCTCCCGTGGAAGACTCTCATGCTTGCTCTGTGTCAGACTTGCTTTGTGACATTAACTGAGTCACTGACAGTTGCTTTAGGAAATTATTGGCTTGTTTCCTGGGGAAAAGAAATATACCATGTCATAAAACAGAGTTCACCTGTGTGAGTAAGATAATACCTTCAAAGGTGGGACATTTCCAGAAGGGTTCCTGTCACTTCCCTTGTTTCAAAACTGTATTGGCCCAAGGTAGGTGTTGGTTTTGGATTTCTTAAACAAAACTTCTTTTTAAATATTTTTAGAAAGTTACTGTCATTCAGAGGTCTCAGTATCTTGCTTTGTGCCAAGTTCGTTTTGTTGGCTTAAATTCAGCTTTGAAAATCAGTGCATGGGACCGTGGGGTACTTGATTTGCTAGAACCCATCTACCAGTTTCTTATCTTCCCCTCATGTGTCACGTGGAGCTTTAGAGTATCTGAGTCTACGTGTGTTGAGTTCAAGCTGATACACACACTGACACATGCATGCCCACCCTTCTTCCCCAGAAGCCAGTTGTCAAATGGGTAGAGAGATTACATATGCGAAACAGCAAATAATGTTAGGCTGTGTGCTTGCAGACACACATACGTGCCTGTGAGACAATGACAGAAAAACAAGGAATCCTGGAAGCATACGGACTGACTGCTTTGCAGTGCATCTGAGCCTCTATGGTCTGGGAGAGGAACGTGCGATCCACCTTCGCCTCCTCTCGGAGGGCTGGGGGTGTGCAGGGAGCCGCTGCGGTGGATTCTCTGCCCCTTTCGTGCTATGTCAAGTGTTATTAGGGAATGAATGGCTACTGAAAAGGACCTTGCAGCCTGTGCTTTGGGTAGCCTGGGACCCTTGGGAACAGCCCCTTCTGTCTGTGTGATCCGAAGATAGCTCCCAGATGGGGAGAGCTCCTACTCCTTCCCTTGTCCTCCCTCCCTGCTCTCTAGCACAAAAGCTTTTGGAACTGAAGGAAACCCCCTGGCATGCAAACCCAGGACCTGTAGACTTCATAGGTCTTGTGAATGGCCAGTATTTGGGGCTTCACAGCCCCCTAACCTCTTGAGAATTTCTTTGAAAAACTAGAGTATCATAGAGATGTGAAAAGAGTTTGATTTCTAAAATCAGTGCATACATAGGTTTAAAAAAGACAATAAAAATTAAAATATGCTGACTTCAATGACAAAATAATTGCATTTTATTAATCAAATATTTAATTTGACCGAGGTTATTTTACTTAACAGCAATTTGTGTTTTGGTGTGGGCTAAATAGTACCTAAGAATCCCTGGGATTGTGTTAGTTTCACGGTGCAGAGGCTCACTGCACACTTGGAACTGGCTTACTGTGTCCTGGCACCCCAGCCCTCAATGTTGGCACTTCGCTATTTGCAGGAATGGGGAACTGACCACCCACAGGATGGCTTATATACATATATACATATGCCATGCAGCCAGCTTTGAAATGTGATAGCGCTTCTCTGAGGTCCCTAATGTGCTGATCCACCTTTAAGACTAGTCACAAAGCTAACAATTACAGTAATACTTGTCGCAAGCATCACTTATTTGGTAGTTTTGTGTAAAGATCAGTGTCGTTTTTTGGAACAGCCATTCTGTGTGGATCTGTGAAGAAAGACTCGGTGGGTACTTTCCATTTCCATTTGAGAGTGTCAGATGGCTCGGACTCAACAGCCACCTGTGCGCTCCTTCTCAGGGACACCTGCACACATGTTCCCAGATGCCCCATGGGGTTATTCTCAGATGTCAGCATCCACAGCTATGTGTTGGCACCACATGGAGATGCACTGGTACCTTTGAGGTCCCCGCCTCTGATGACACCAGCCAGTGTCCTCGGCATCAGGGGTGAGGTCCAGTGTGGAAGAACTTTGCAAGTCTTTCCCCCGGACCTGACAGCTGCCCTGCAGAATAAGTGCTCGCCCCCCAGAGGAGGCATAGCTTGGTGAAGTAACTTGCACAGAGCACATGCAGGTAGGTCGCTGGGATGGAGTCTGAATCTCATGTCATGGCTGCCAGAGCTTATGCTGTTCTTACTTTCTTGGTCCATTCAACCTCTCTCCATCTTTTCTGCCCTTACCCCCTTTGTTCTGCTTCCCCTCCTCTTTGTTTTGCAACACATTTTTCCTACCATTATCTCCCTTTGAAGGAACTTAACGTTGCCTCCGAGAATTGTTGACACTTGCCCTTTGTCAACCAGGTGACACTGGGACAGGTCCATCTCATGCACTCCTTCTGCCACCCCCAAGGAGGGAACGGGGCTTTGTCAGCAGTCAAAGCTGCTGTGCTGGGGGCTCCTGGCTATGTGCCAGGCATCATGCTAGGCCCAGTGAAGCCTGCAGTGAGGTATTAAGTGGATACCAGCCTGAGCCCTAACTTGGCCAACTGGAGGATACTGTGCAGTGCTGGTGTGGGGGCCGGGAGTCACCATTCTGACAGCCCATGCTCAAGGACACAGCAGTGAGCACAGCACACTACTAAGGGCTCAGTCAGGAAAGCCTGGCCGGAAAGGAAACAAAATCATTCGTTAAATGGACTAACCCTTTTGTCTTTGCTTAATGGAATAACTTTGCCTTCTTTTGACTTATTCTGTCTGCCTGCAGAAAGGAAATCTGCTCTCATTAAATGGGCTATCAGTTGTTGGTGTTGCTGAGGAGGGGGCAGTCCTCCTGGCCTTTGCTCTCAGGAAGGACAGACAGCCACACAGAGCAGACCCCGAAAGCAAATGAGAGTCCTGATTAACACTGAG